ATTCTATGGACCTGAATTTGAGAACTCTGTATTTGTTTACATAGATGACATTGTAGTGGCTAGTTCTGATTTTGAATCTCATATTTCCCTACTTCTGAAAGTGCATAAAAAACTAAAAATGGCTAATTTGACTATTAACTTCGAAAAATCTGTTTTCTTTCGTAATGAGCTTAAATACCTTGGCTATGTGATCGACTCTAAAGGGCTTCATGTTGATCCTTCTAAAATTGATACTATTGTCAACTACCCTACACCTACGAATAAAAAAGAGGTTAAGCGATTCTTGGGCATAGCTTCGTGGTATCGGAAGTTTGTCCCTAGCTTTAGTTCAATTGCTGGTCCGTTAAATAAATTAACTTCTACTAATAAAAAAACGAATCCCTTTACTTGGACTACCCAAGCCGAAGAATCCTTTAATAAATTGAGAGAGTTACTAGTTTCTGCCCCTATTTTATCTTGCCCTAATTTTAACCTTCCCTTTCAAGTGCATACGGATGCTAGTGACTATGGAGTTGGAGGTATGCTAACCCAAACCATAGAAGGAGTGGAACATCCCATTGCATACTATAGTAGAACTTTGACTGGACCTGAAAGGAACTATAGCACTACGGAGCGTGAAGCTTTGGCTGTTTTAGTGGCTTTGGAACACTGGAGATGCTATCTTGATAATGGGATAAAGTTTGTCGTCTACACTGATCACTCTGCTCTCAAGTGGTTTCTTAGTCTAAACAACCCAACTGGGCGGTTGGCTCGCTGGGGTGTCCGCCTATCAGCTTTTAATTTTGAAATAAAACACAGGCGTGGCGTTGATAATGTTATCCCTGATGCATTGTCACGTTCATGTAAAGTTTCGGCAATAGATTCTAATAATCTACCTAGGACCAATGATCAATGGTACTTAAATATATTTCAAGGTTGTCAAAGCTCTCCTACGTCATTCCCTAATTACCAAATAAAAAACAATCGATTGTTCCGTTATTCAAAAACTAATAACCCCTTCCATAAGGAGTTCGAGTGGAAAGAAGTAATTCCTGCTGAGTCGAGACAAGCTATTGTGCTCGAAAACCACTCGGACCCAACAGCTGGTCATTTCGGGATTTTTAAAACATTTAAACGTGTGGGTCTAAGTTATTTCTGGCCTGGTATGCATGCAGACGTTGTGAAAACTGTCACTTCTTGCGATACTTGCATCGCGCACAAGCACCAAAATCACGCGATTCTAGGTGAAATGGGTAGACCTAAACATTGCACTAGACCTTTCCAGGTTATTAGCGTGGATCTAGTAGGACCCCTACCTCCTACTAGGAAACTAAACAGCTTTATTCTGGTTGTCACTTGTTGTTTTAGTAAGTATTGCTTACTATTTCCAATCAAGCGCGCTACCGCTGAAATTGTTACTAAAATACTGGAGGACCATGTATTCTTAATACACGGCATTCCTTCCACGGTGATTTTGGATAATGGTAAACAATTTGTAAGTGCCACGCTAAGACAAATGTTAGATAAATATAAAATCCCTAAGCTGCATTTTACGCCTAAATACTCACCACATGTAAACACAGTGGAACGTTATAATAAGACGATAATGACTGCCATTTCCACGTTCATCTCTAACGATCAACGTATTTGGGATCTACTAGTACCTAAAATACAATTCGCTGTGAATTGTTCCGTAAATGAAGTCACGGGCTACACCCCTTCATTTCTGGTATACGGACGTGAATTAATAGCTTGCGGTACGCACTATATCGATACGGATACTGATGAGGATTTAATTTTTCAACCTCGCGATTCCTACGCGGAGAACATAGGTGTCCTATCTTCTATCTTTAATAAAGTTCAGTCACTGCTTCTACAAGCTCACAGTCGTAATTGTAAACATTATAATTTACGCCGGAAACCGGCTGAATTTGATATTGGTGATGTAGTATGGAGAAAGACCTTTTACCTTAGTGACAAGGACAAATATTTTAATAAAAATTAGCACCAAAATTTTTAAAATGTAAAGTAATCGGTAAAAAGTCGCCTCTTGTCTACGAGTTGGCTGATATGTCCGGAAAACCACTAGGTTCCTGGCATATCAAAGATATTAAAATCACAAATTATAAAACATAACAATTATTATAAGCAAAGTAAATCTACATACACACACTGGACCCGGGTATGTCCTAAAACTACGTACACACACTGGACCCGGGTATGTCCTAAAACTACGTACACACACTGGACCCGGGTATGTCCTAAAACTACGTACACACACTGGACCCGGGTATGTCCTAAAACTACGTACACACACTGGACCCGGGTATGTCCTAAAACTACGTACACACACTGGACCCGGGTATGTCCTAAAACTACGTACACACACTGGACCCGGGTATGTCCTAAAACTACGTACACACACTGGACCCGGGTATGTCCTAAAACTACGTACACACACTGGACCCGGGTATGTCCTAAAACTACGTACACACACTGGACCCGGGTATGTCCTAAAACTACGTACACACACTGGACCCGGGTATGTCCTAAAACTACGTACACACACTGGACCCGGGTATGTCCTAAAACTACGTACACACACTGGACCCGGGTATGTCCTAAAACTACGTACACACACTGGACCCGGGTATGTCCTAAAACTACGTACACACACTGGATCCGGCCACGTCCTTAAATTATACTTAAATAATTTTTGAACAAAATTTTAATCGAATTAAAACTAATATCTGAACACTAAATTCTATAACTACCTACAGTACCTACTACTACTACCACTACTACTACTACTACACAAAGCTATTCCTTTTCTATTTTATACGTATTGGTCTACCCCAATAGTGTATAATTATGATGATGGTCTAACCCACACAATGTATTACTATCATATTAAATATACTATGACTATCGGCCCTACACCGATGTCCATAAATGAAACTAGATCATGGTTCTACCCCATAGATTCCTTCAGTTATGTACGCTAAAGGCCCTACACCTTTGGTATTCTACGGAGCGGTGCAACTCCTTAAATAAGCCTTTGCAAGAGCGGTTGATTACTCTATAAATAAGCCTCAATCACAAACATAACTTATTATCTATTCTTCCTAAGTCTATTATTCTATCAATTAGTAGTTATGTGGAGATAGTAATCGCTCCAAGTCAGCTTAATTTTTTTCCACCCATAATTGAGCTGGGGGAGTGTTCTGTGCACTGGTAGCAGAATACTCAGATCGAAAGGATGCTGACGCACAGATGTCTATTGTGACGTCGGCTAGTTAATGTAAGGAATAATGAAAAGTGAGGGATGATTAAATGATGAATGATGATGAATGAAAGGGTAACTCGGTTCAGTTATCAGCAAGAGCGAAAGCAGCGGATTTTTCCGAGGAAAAATCCTACGCTAATGAGGGGGGTACTGTAACGTTGTACCTTGTTGCCCTAAAAATAGCTTCGAAACCATATAAATTATAAATAATTACAATAGATTATTCTAAAACTATTATTAAAATACACTAAATAAACAAATAGAAACACATCTTACTACTTACTAATTTAAAACGCATCAAAATAATTAATTTTATATAAAAACATTACGGAACCCAATATTAATTGTTTACGCAAAGGTCCTCGCTTCTATTGCGCCTACGCATCTCTAAACGAGTTAATAACTAGTCGTGTCGGCTCGTCTCGGGCGCATTCGTAAAATCCAACGAACAGTCAACTTAAAGGCATCAGAGGTGACGGCTGTGTCACTCGATCGCGGACGACCTACGTTGCAAGATCGTACTTACCTACCTAATTAAATCTACCTTAAATCAATTATATAAATTGTAATCGGAATCCCGCTGGGGTAAGTTTCCATGTATTGCTTAAGTGTTGCTATTGTAAGGTGTTTCTTCTTCTTAATTTCTCGCTAGCAGCGGCTATTCCTTTTTTTTCTTTGTCTGCTGGGACACTGTGACCTTTGGACCCGGCTACGTGGTCCGAGCTCTGCTAACGCTTGCCTTGTATCTGCGCTTCCAGGATTCATGTTCTACGATTAACCTCGCATCGCAGCCATCTACCTGGCGGATTTATATTCTACTATTAACCTCGCATCGCAGCCATCTACCTGGCGGCGAGTGGAAGACCAGACCTCCTTCTACCTGGGAACTACCTAGGCCCTGCTGAAGACCTGGAAGGCATTTGGAACGAGACCGGACCGCCTGCAGAGCTACTCCACGGTTCAGGCCAGTGTTCTCAGCGTACCTATTACCCCGAACCTGGACGTGATTGGGGCAACAGATATTTGGCAATAATAGAGTGAACTACTTCTAAAAAAAAAAAAGTGTACTTTATTTGGACCCCTACCTACCTACCTACCTGCCGGCCACCTGACTCCTACAGGAGCCAAGTTGCCGCACGACTTCAAAAAAGGAGTATATAACTCGTTAGATAAACTAAAAATTAGACGCTATTGTTTACTTTTGTAACTGTAATTAGTCGAGTAACTCGACTAATTTCGAACTACGACAGGGGCTCATAATAATGAACAGCACTAGTCGAGTTATTAATTTACTGTCGCCTTTCGATCAAGATGTGCATACGCGTTTAAAATGTAATGTTGACTTTCCACCCCTTATGATAATCATCTAACCCCGTACAATAAATATTCATACATACATGAAGTTTATTGCCTCGTTGGCCGAGTGGTCGCAAGTGCGACTGCCGGGCAAGGGGTCTCGGGTTCGATTCCCGGGTCGGGCAAAGTATCACTGGGTTTTTAAAAAATTCTCAGTAGTAGCACGGAGTCTGGAATTGTGCCCGGTATATGACTATTGCCCCTATTACATGGGACTCATAACATAAATAGTGAAAAGTGGGTGTTACATTGTACAGTGGCATAATGTGCACCTCTGCCTAACCCTTCGGGGATAAAAGGCGTGATGTTACGTTATGTTATGTTATGTTACATACATGAAGTTTATTATTCTACTAACATTCCACTGTCTCCTTTCCAGGTAACAAACAGATAGCAGCGTTGGTTGTCTGGGCACGCGACATCCCGCACTTCAATTCTCTCCACCTGGAAGACCAGATGCTCCTTATCAAGGGATCCTGGAACGAACTGCTACTCTTTGCTATCGCCTGGCGGTCTATGGAGGTTCGTACCTATGTATTTTATATTAACACTAGCGGACCCGACAGACGTTGTCCTGAATATGTATGAAAGGAAAGACCAATAAAATAATAATTATTATTGTTAGTTTAGGATAAATATCCTAGACACCGACTGCAACGCCATCTGCCAGGCTGATTTGTGAATCTAAACCATTCCCAGATCCTCTTGAACACACACAAAAAATTTCATCAAAATCGGTCCAGTCGTTTGAGAGAAGTTCAGTGACATACACACTCACAGAAGAATTATAATATATATAAAGATGATTTTTAACAAAAGTAATTCTGAAGTTTTTTGCTCTATACAAAACTTTGCTTTGGAACAAGCAGACTAAGCGTTTGTGTACATTTAGTATTTGAACAATACAATAGACTGCCTCGTCGGCCGAGTGCGACTGCCGGGCAAGGGGTCTCGGGTTCGATTCCCTGGTCGGGCAAAGTATTACTGGGTTTTAAAATAAAAATAGTAACACGGCGTCTGGAAATGTGTCCGGTATATGGCAATAGGCTCATCTCCTATTATATGGGACTTATAACATGTATATTGAAAAGTAGGTGTTACATTGTACAGTGGCATTAGGTGCCGTAATGTGCACCTCTGAATACCTCTTCGAGGATAAAAGGCGTAGTGTTATGTCCGGTTAAGAAGTCAACAGCCTTAGCGAGCTGAACTACGAGTGGTCCTATCCTTAAAAAAGTTTTGCTTTCTTTCGAATAAAACCTAAATAAGTTGTACATGCTTTTTGAACAAGGGTTTTTGGAGACCTCCCCTAAATCCCAAAATTACGTTCAGTGGTTCAAGTCACACACACAAATGTTTAGCAAATGATCTCTGTCTGTCCGTGACCTTATTCCATTCCATCGGATCATGAAGGTTTTAGCTCTATTCAACTTGAATGTATAGATTAAACAATACAAAGGTTTGTACAATCATGGGCTAGAAAATACACATGCTAAATTGTATTATAGTTTTTGACATTAAGACCATGATTAATACATTGAACACCATGAGGGACAAAATTTGTAGTAATCTCCAACAATCCTCAAATTCCTAATACCCAAAAGGCCGCTAACGCACTTGTAACCTCACTGGTGTTCCAGGTGTCCATGGGCGACACCGATAGCTTACCATCAGTTGATCCGTCTGATCGTTTACCGGCTTATCGTATAAAAAAGTTACCCTCAATGCTTCAACCGTTCTTTATCGGCAGTCGGTTCTTTATCGGTTGATATTTTAAATTAATGGTATGTTTATGTGTAATTTCAGTATTTGACAGAGGAGCGTGAGGTTGTAGATAGCTCCGGTAACAGGACCACATCGCCACCACAACTCATGTGCCTCATGCCTGGTGAGTACTCCATGCTCTTTATTTATTACCATCATCAACTAGAATACGTCCAATGCTGAACCTTTCTCTTCAGAAAAGGTTTGTTGTAATAGTCTGCCAAGCGGGGGCATTAAGGCAAACTGCTTTAGGCACTGAAATCTTAGGGTATACTGCTAAACCTTCCCTTGATTGTTTGTCAGTTTTCGGGACATACCAATCCAGGTTTAGCACATGACAAACTTATTACAATTAATTATTAACTACAGCAATCAGACACAAATCGTGCAAGAGGTCAATGCCCATATAATTGAAACAGAAATGCAAAATAAGAATTGTACAAAAAAAGAACTACAAAACAGAGGTCAATACCAATTTCAAATTTTAATTATGTTTGGTATGTCTGGCTGAATTTTTATTAAAGAATATACCTACTTACCTACCTACATATAGTGCTGGATCGCCCCTGTGCCTTTAGCCAAACGCCACTTTAGCGCTTGTCTACAGAGAGAGTAGAAATCAAAATGTATGGGGATGACACTGACAAGTGTCAAATTTACGTCAATCCCATATAATTTAGTATTCTATTCTACAAGTAGACAAGCGCTAAATGGCATTTGGCTACAGCTGCTGATTACACAGTATTAATCCGTTAAAAATTGTTGAAAATCATCTCCTATATTTGTTCATACAAAAGTAGTCTCTAAACGTTGGAAATAAGGTCTATAATGTAGTTAGTGGAGAGCGGTCACCGGTGACCGCTTGGGAATATAATTCGTATAAAAATGTGTTACATATAAATATGTGTTAAGTGTGGGAGAACCCTGCTCGGCCTCACAGAAAACCGATGTGAAACAACGCTTGCGTTGTGTTTCGTCGTGTGAGTGAGGTTACCGGAGGCCCAATTACCCCCCTCCCTAGTCCCCGTCTCCCGAATTCCCGAATCCTCAATACCCAATTCCCAAAAGGCCGGTAACGCCTTGGTGTTTCGAGCGTCCATGGGTGGCGCCGATTGCTTACCATCAGGTGATCCGTCTGCTTGTTAACCGGCTTATGCTATAAAAAAATGTGCACTTCGGGTCTAATGTCATCTACACTAATATGATCGAAATCACAAGGCAAAAAGGCTCTTTTCTACATCAAATTCTCAACACCACTCTAGTGAGAACAAAGATTTTAAAACCCACAAAAGGCTTTCATAACCAAAAACAATTGTTATAGTAATATAATAATAATAATGAAGTATAAGTTATCGCACCCTAAGTCACGTCATTATTAGTTTAGCCATTCGTTTTTGTTACGTATACATTTTATAAAAGGTTACTGACTTGCAAACACGATTTTATACAATGTACGATAGTTACTACCTACCTATTTAATTTCAATAATAATTCTCGAACGGTCAAAAACGGACGTTTTGTGTGATATTTGTATGTAATCATAGCTTTGACGTCATATGTTTTTGCTATATGCCTATATCATCATTGATTTGCTTCGTGTATAAAAGACTAGCTTTTGTTTGTGGTTTTACTCTTGTTGATATTGATTTTAACAACACGTTCTCCTCTTTCACGCCTTAGGGCCGATTTTTCAATCATCAGTTAATTCTTAACTGAGGAATAAAATTGACATTTGACAGTATTTAGTATGGAATAAAATTGACATTTGTCAGTATTTAGTATGGAAGAGTTGTCAAATATTCAAAGTTATACCTCAGTTAAATTTTATCTGGTGTTGGGAAAATCGGCCCTACGTCGTTGTGATAAAAATTAACTTAGTGACCTGTGAGCTATTTCAGGCTGTAACCATTTCTATGCGATATTTCATCTAGTTACGTTTTTAGCGTGATTGAGTCACGAATCAAAACAAACTCATTATTTTATTCAGTACTTATGTCGAAACACTCAAACGCTACTCAGGTCGTGCTTAAGTATCGTTCTGTCACTACAAATTATTTTAAAATGACAGAGATGGCGCGATATTTAAGTATAAATTAAAATTGAGTAGCCTTTCAGTATTCGGGCTTTAGTCTAGCTAGGCAATAGAAAGTAATAACATAACATAACATAACATCACGCCTTTTATCCCCGAAGGGGTAGGCAGAGGTGTACATTATGCCACTGTACAATGTAACACCCACTTTTCACTATTTATGTTATGAGTCCCATGTAATAGGGGGTGAGCCTATTGCCATATACCGGGCGAAAGTAATAGTTTATATATTTAATAGGTACAGACTTAGAAAAACTAAATCGTTACTTTATGTAAATACTAGTTGTTGGCATGCTCACTATCGCTGACTTACCAGTTTTCCTTTTTTTTGAAACCTTGACCTTATATCTTCTTTAAAATCTTGAAAAATATTACTAAAATGTAAGTTTTTACATTAATTGTATATTAATCTTGTATTAGCATTTGATTATGTAACCTCTAACATAATTATATCCGCATAAGTAGGTGCTAAATTATTTACTTTTTACATTATTTTCTTTGGGAAACATAACTATTAAAATTTCCCACGATATTCTTTTTTTTCTTGATGATTCCATTCGGAAATTTCATGCCTGCTTCAAATACGAATACTTTAGTTAAAAATTTATTGTGTGTTATTAGGTCTTTTTATCATCGATTATAATGCGCGGTTCAAGTAACTGAACTTTGTCATATTTTTTGTCTTTATGTCCTTATTGCGGTCGTGGTGGGCCGAAGGTTTAAGACGCCCGCTTCCCATGTACGAAGGTGCGAGTTCTAAACCTACCAACAGCTTGTACCAATATGACTTTCTGAGTTAATTATTTATTTAATCTTTAATGTACACAATTTTAATATGGCACATAAGGCGGACTTAATGCCATATTAAGTTATATGTAGTTTCTAAGATTATTTAGGCACCACTGACAAACGATGAAGGCAAACATCGTGAGGAAACCTGGGCTTATAATTTCTAATTATTAGTTTGAAATCGCCAACCCGTATTGAGCAAACGTGGTGATTAATGCTCAAACCTTCTCAGTGTAACAAGAGATCTTTGGTCAGCAGCAGTTATTGATGATGTCTTTGTTTCTGTCACCACGGAACTCACTAGTCAAGAGGGGGTATTATGTTGTATTATATGCTCCCCTCTTTCGGGAATCGAAAAGTAATGTCAAATGTTCTATAATGTTTAAATATGAATGTTCCAGGTATGACCCTACACCGTAACTCGGCTCTCCAAGCAGGCGTCGGCCAGATATTCGACCGCGTCCTTTCGGAACTGTCCCTCAAAATGCGCGCTCTCCGCGTCGACCAGGCCGAATATGTCGCGCTCAAAGCCATCATACTGCTCAATCCTGGTATGTATACAAATATGTCAACAATAATTGAAAATTGATGGTTTAGAAGTAAAGTTAAATCAAAGAAAGAGTTCAAATATTAATTATTGTTTTCGGCTTATTTACGTAATTGTTTGACGAAGAACTCGACTAGTTTAGAGGCTCATATTCATGAGCAGCATTCTGCGACACACGACGCGGGGACTGCCACAAACATAATAATTAATTTAATATGTCTCACGAAAGTTATAATATAAACAGTTTAAATATATGTTTATTTATGCCACTGATCTGGAATAGTCGCATTAGATTAAATCTGTAATGAGAAATGTAATATATGTGCAATCAACAAATAAATGTGCCTTTTCGGAAATATTCACTTAACTGTTTTGTTTAATATTTCAATGTTTTTCTACAGAAAAATAGTTGAAACATTTAATCTCTTTTACAGTTTAAATACCTAATTAATTGTTTGTAGTCAGAATTATTTCTACAACAAACACATTGAATTTGTTTTATTAAACCACACTGAACATCCACATATTTGATCACGTGTGTAAAACAATAAAATACAAATGTAAAAATTACTCTCGTTTATTTTTTCAGATGTGAAAGGACTGAACAACAGACTAGAAGTTGAAATTTTACGAGAAAAGGTAAATTTGCATTCTTTGTCATAACACCTGAGTAACTGGCGTACATTAATTTGAATATTCTGAATAGAGACAGCGGCCGGCACGTCAACCTACCCCACTTAGTCAGGTTTTTCAATGTATTTTCGACTTTGTACTAAATTCTCAAAGTTTAAAATATATTTGATAGAAAGCAGTAGTTTGATCTGATTGCTACTACAAAGCGAACTGCAGAGTTATTTTCGCTCCGTTCGACGTCCGATGTAATTATATTACAATATTTACAATGAGTTCGCATGTCATATCACATTTGACCTCTTTTGCATTTGAAAGTGATTAGCATTGAATTAATGAGGTTGCTACAGGCTACAGTTCATATTGTTGCGAACACGTGTAAAGAATGAACTTGGAACTCAATAGTGACGTATGAGTACTGTGTACGTTGCTCGAGCGATCTCGAGCGTGATCACCACGCATAGTGGGTTAGGTCGATTGGCTAAAGTATTATTGGGTTTTTTCGGTTCGGTTTCGGTGGAAAATTCTCTGTAGTAAAGTGGCATGAAACTGAATGGCGCTAGTATGCAACAACAAGTTACTATATTTTTTATTTGTTTTATATCTTCTTTTCAAAAAATAACAGTGAATGGTGGACTTAATGCCTTATGGCCTTCTCTGACAGTTAATGGGGAAACGCCATTAAAACAATTCGCTCTCTTAATATAAGTAGCGAAAAGTTAAAATACTTTAAAATGCTGTTTACGTGTTTACATTATGGTAGTGACAAGTGTTGTATGCGCAGATGTTCTCGTGCCTGGACGAGTACGTGCGGCGGTCGCGCGGCGGCGAGGAGGGCAGGTTCGCGGCGCTCCTGCTGCGGCTGCCCGCGCTGCGCTCCATCTCGCTGAAGAGCTTCGAGCACCTGTTCTTCTTCCACCTCGTGGCCGACACATCCATCGCGTCCTACATCCGCGAGGCGCTGCGCAGCCACGCCCCGCCCATCGACGCCAACGTCATGTAACCATACAGCTCCTACGCGGCAGCTTCATACTTCTCTTATCTTCTCTATCACTATAAGAGCGACCGGTCGAAGGTTCGAGGTGAGAGCACTGGTTTCGGCCATCTAATTAGGATTCTTTTATGGAAAGTTAGCGTTAGCAGACGTCGAGTGGGCGTGTCGAAGTGGTTAAGAACGTTTCGAGGTCTTAGATTAATAATCTTGATACCTCAGTGTATGTGCGTGTGACCGCTACACGACCTCTACGATGTACAAGTTTATAAACGGTTCTGAACAAAATTGTTGCTATAATTATAGGAAATTCTTTAATATTTAAACTTAAGTAAAATCTCATAAATCGTTAAAATAACCAAAAGGCCTTTGTTTTATTTAGAGAGCACTGAAGGCTGTGTTTGACAACATTCTGGCTATGCAAAGTACGCGGACGCGATGTAGTGTATAATTAGTCGTTGGTTATATGATATATCATTTACTATAAGTACCTGGATGTCGATAGCTCTAATTCAACCGGCCCTTCGTCCACATCGTATTGGTAAGCAGCTACGCAAGCAGTAGAGAGTGTAAGTACAATATCGACGCGTCGTGTATCGGTCCGAGTATGTATCGAGATCCACACGGTAGCGGTTAGATAGTGTAAATGGGGCCGCCTCTTTTATTACGTAGATTATGATTAACGTAAATATTAGTCATTCATTTATTAGGGAATTTTAATCGTCAGGTAGGTGTCCATAGCGAATTAATATAATGTTAGACTAATTAATGTGTAATTTTAACATTTACCAAATCTCTCTTCAAAGCACATACATTTATTACTATGTATTTTAATGGATTGATAAGTGTCCTATGAGCCAGAGATAAAATCATGTTGATTCGTAAAAACTAAAAGATAAATTATACGAAATTTTATGCTTCATATATTTCCCGTATTATATACATGTTGGTGCTTTAACATGCATTATTTACATATTGTGCATATTAAATATGCATAGTAAGCATTAAAATTAATGTTACTTGATAAATCCTTATTTTCATTACGTCTAGCATAGAATGTTATGAAACTGTAAATATATCTTGCATGTACAATGTAATTTTATTGTTTAGACGAGTAATTTATATTGCATATTAATATATAACTCACCAGCGATGTAGGTGGTGGGTACAAACGGATAGAATGGCCTACAAAATGTAAACAAAACATGTATTTCTTGGACAGGCCACTTTATTTTTGTACGCGACGATATCTGTAACATGCATTTGAGAATTCACTAACAAAATTAACCAGTATTATGTATTTAACATTCACAAGACACAGATCAAGTGGACGGCATTAGAGCGATATATGGACGAGTGACGAGCATGGCTAAAGAAAATGTTAATAAAGTTTAAATTGTTGAAATTAAGAAAGCTATGTAATGTTGACTTGCAGCTCAATGATGTTTAACTGGTATATTTGGAACTATTTAAGATATTCACATACTGTAGATTGTTGACCGTTGACAACCAGTATTCCTGTTATTATGAAGATAAATGTTGAACACTGATATTACTCTATGGATTGGTTTGAATTATATGACGGAGATGTTGCAGTGGTTGTGAGATGATTTATACTGATGTTCACTAATTATCTGACTAAATTTAAGTTATATTTTTTGTATAGACATACATAGCTTTAAGATTCGTAAATGGTGATTAAAATTATTATCACAATTTTGGTGTTTTTTTTTATTGAAATGAATATTTGTAGTGCTTCTACTTTTATGTTGTCTTTTTGTAGCTCACCCCACAGAGGAAAAATAACATTAGAGGCTTAGCAACCATTTCTCGTGACTTTATGATCCACAAGTTGTTTAACAGTGAACATATTACTTACCTATGGATCAAGGTATATAAAAAATAAAAAAAAAACGATAATAAAATATGTTGTATACGTATTTTATTCAAATAAAACTCTTTATAATAAAATGCGAATTATTATAAAATGAAATACTTCGAACATTTATACTTAGTTTAGTATCAGGCACAGCCAAGCAATATAAGAAATAACAGTATATTTATTATAATTATATTGAAAATACACCAACAACTTGCATTGCTAATAACTTGTATTTATAATTGAGATAAAAAACGACGATGATATAGTTTTATATGTGTATAATAATAATTATAATACACTGGTGGACATAGAAATAAGGCCACTTGTATTTTTAACTGACTTCAAAAATGAGGAGGTTCTTTTCGGTTGATATTTGTATGATTTATACTTAGTACTTGGTATAATCTGATTAAATGCATCATAATTACATTATCTAAAAATGAGAAAAATAGGTACCTATTTATATTTTGAAATAGTCATGACAGTGACTATTTCAAAATAAATATAGTCTGGTAGGTGACCTAAGTATTTATAGTCCACCAGTTTGGGTTGTACACTTAAAAGCACCTAGCGTTGTACTTAGCTAATTAATTGTTAAAATGCGACGCTTCCATCGACTCGTAAACATCCAGTTTCACGTTCATTCTGTGGACAATAGTAGAAATTAGTAAAATGCGATGTCAAAGACAAAATTAAATATAAGGCTATGGAATAATGAAGTTCACTCGCACTGTATGTTAAAAAATCGTAATTATATAGTCTTATTCTATGTTTAGATAAGAATCCAGAATGTATAAATATATAATTCATAACATAATATCACGCCTTTTATCCTTGAAGGGGTAGGCAGAGGCGAACATTACTGCACTTAAATGTCACTGTACAATATAACACCCACTTTCCACTATTTATGTTATAAGTCTCATGTAATAGGGGTGAGCCTATTGCCACACAACAGGCACAATTCCAGACTCTGGGCTAAAAACTGAGAAGTAATACTTTCCGACCTAGGAATTGAACCCTTTTCACTTGCGAACACGCTAACGAAGCAACGAATACAAAATACGTATTACAATATTTGCAATAATATGTTATTTGGGGCAAACAATTCGAATGGATTGACAGATGGTACCGGAATGGATAGACCTAGTTTCTATCTAGGTCTTATCACATGATTAAACAATAGACTTACTTTTCGAAGGCAGTATTCATGTCGTTGACTTTAGTAGGATGGCAGACGATGGCCAGCTTGCCTTGCTCCGTGTCGAAGAGTGAAGGCAACCACTTGGCGGCCGCCGCGTGAGCTGCTTCAGGAGTCACTGCTGATATCGCCTTTACTAGATCACTGTAAATACAATTTAGAGTTAGATTCTATTACATACATACATAACTCAAGCCTGTCTCCCATGGGGGTAGGCACAGACTATTTTTTTTTAAGGGGGGAAAATCATCGATTGTTTGCTCCCGCCTGGGTGAGGCGGGAGGGAGTGTCAGACTCTTACTGACTAAAAACCACCCCGTTCCTTCTCTTGCACGCCGAGCCGGAGCCCCGGTTACCCGTTAGGTTCTCCGCGACAAAGCCCAGATTATAGAACGCCAATCACTACTATTCCTACATATCTCTTTCGTTTCATCAACAGTCATCAATTTTTTCATGCATGCTTTTCGGTTAAGGATACTTTTAATTTGGCCCTTCTTTAATATATCGATCGATTCTATTTAATGCGTGTGTAACCTTTGAAGTGGGAATAGGTAAAAAGTAAAATAAGGTACGAGTCTGTCTATCAAACAGCAGATTAGATGCACTTATCAACGACTTTCTGTCATGCAAATCGAAAATCATCGAATGACTGCTCCTGCCTGGGTGAGGCGGGAGGGAGTGTCAGACTCTTACTGAATAAAAACCACCCCGTTCCTTTTCCTGCACGTCGAGCCGCTCCGCGGCTCTGAATCGGCATCAGCCCTTTTGGGCCCCATCCGTGGTGGTCTGTTGGTTCTATGAGGCACGCGGGTAACGCGACGCGCCGTACGCTCGGGTCTGTTTCTGGTCGGACGGGCATGGGTCCCCTACCCATGCTCGCCGTCCGCAGCCCCGCGCTTACGGTGGCCGGAGATCGTATCATGGGTGCCATAGGAGCCAATTTGAGCGATTACACACTTCACAAAGACCGAGGGCTTAGTACGAGTTTGTTTCAGTTCATTGGAGCCGGTTTTTGGTTAGTTCATTAGAGCCGGCGAATCAGAGCGCCGAACGCGGTATCGTTTCGATTATTTGAAACGTGAAACAAGGTCGTACGCCTCGGGGCTGCAGCGACTGCTAAGCGTAGTAATTATGACAAATTCTCTTATCGAGAGGAGGTACAGCATTGAACTGTTGATGATGATGTGATGATGAAATACGTGCTGGGTCCTTCTACTTACGTTCCTATTTACCACACAATAATAAACCAATATGTACAACGTACTTGTTATACGAGGGTGCTTCCCTATACAGGTAGTACATGAGTGATCGTTTCACGACGTCCGCGGGACACTTCTCGTTCTCCACCACCTCGAACAGCACCGTACTCTTCGCGGAGGCGAATAGATCGTCGTCAAACTTCGCGTCCTTCAAGTATTCTTCCTATTCGAAAATAGAAGAAAAATATCTTAGATTAGTGATGAAATACAAATGCATTTTCTAATTAATATTTGTCTATTGTTTTATATATGGATGTCAACTTTGTCTGTGGCTGATTTTCTTTTTATTATATCTGTGGTCTGGCAATATACGTTCCGTTGTTAAATTACGCTCCGTCTTTTATTTAATATTTCCCTAGGACTAGTTCAATAAATCTTACCCATCTTACAAGTTTTCATCAATTAGCCATGATGGTTCTTAAAATTAAAATCCATAACATAAAAATAGTTTTGGTACAAAAATAAATTTAATGCGAGAAAACTAACTATTTTACGGATTAATGCGGTACACATTATACCAGACTTTTAAAAAAGTATTCTTTTGTTAGTAATAAAGTTCAACGGAACAATAGCTAGCCAAAAGATTACGGAATTTAATACAGCCACAGTTTAAAGACACAGCAATGAAATTATTGAACGTTCTTACCAAAATGCTCTTAGCTTTGCTGTAGGCTGCGACGGCGTTAGTTGCTCTGTACAGGGAGAATATCAGTCTGCCCTCGTTGGGGGACATGCGGATAGCGTAGCCATATGATAGGCCACAACCACGGATTAGACGCCACATTGGTCCCTGGAAGAAAGTGATGATATATTTTATTTTTCTTTATTTATTGCAAATAACATTCATGTTGATGGGAACCTTGTTAGTTCGTGATTAATAGGCCTAAACAACTTTGAGGATTATTGGGGCAGAGATTGGGAGATTGGGGAAGGGGGGGGGGGATAATTGGAGACGTGATATTTTAGACGTGAAAATACTAATGAAGTCATTTAAACATTTTATTAATTGCGTTCTTTCGTTACTACTTATTTCACTATCAACAACGTCCACTGCTTTATACCTCGACATTCATAAATTCTGGACTTATTAGACTGATAAGAAAGCTAGAGTTTAGAAGAACTCCGCTAACTGTTTCTTACCTCAAGCTGTGTGAAGTAGTTGAGTGCGACCATGAGTGGCGCGACGTCGGCGGCGGAGTGTCCGCGCGGGCCGGGGCTCAGCGACGCCACGCAGCACGACTCCCAGCCGCCCACGCCCAGCACGAACCCACCGCCGAACGACGAGAGCAGCTCCGCGTCCCAGTATAGTCGGGGACTAGATGTAAAAGTTAAGATGATTTATAAGAAAAAAAAAAAACGCAATTATTCAAATCCTTATGATGTTATGAATCAAAAGTTGTGCCGAAACTCAAAAACTTTATATTTATGACAATTTCACTTAATGAATAGAGCAATTTTTCAGTAAGGTATAAATGTATTCATTCATAAAGGTAGGGTAATTATTACGTGACACTCTCAGAAGTTTGCAGGCTTTCTATTTGCACGCATGTAGGGCAAACACAGTAACAAAATACATTAATCCTAGTTCCAAAATACTCACGTCAAAGGCGTAATTTCATTCTCCCTAGCGAACCTCTTCCAAGGTTCAGTGCTCAGCTTATATCTTTCGAAGTCTGTCGCTAGATGGAGCCACGCGTTCTCAGTGATACTCTTGAATGATTTCCTGGCTTCTAAGAGAGCTGACTCGGCGGAATCTCCACCGGCTGTCAGCTGTTCTATCAGCTCTTTTAGGAATTTTTGCTGCCTTAGTACTGTGCACCAGTGCAAGTTGCTGTTTTTGCTGTAGACAGAGTCTCGAAGCGCATCGTACATCATCTTGTCACCGGATCTTCGTACCTGAGATTGTATAAGAAATTAAGCTTACAGTCTAGAATCACCACAATATTAATATTGAGTGTCGTTTAAGGTTCTATTGAGTCATGGGCGCGAAATTGATATTTCGGGATTGGTTCGTCTACATAAATAAATAACGTTAAAACGATCTCAAATATGCAGTGCACGTTAAATAAAAAGTAATTAAAAAATGGCCCGCATACCAATGTGTAAACCAAAATTTTAAGAGTAGAAGCTTCTCTACGAGTTTGTATAAGTAATGAATACGTACCTGTGCGACATCGTTGATTAGCCTCTGTGCGAAAACTAGCAGCCTTTCCTTCGTGATCTCCGCGGCGTATAGAATCTCGTACAAATGATTTACAACTTCCTCATAATCTTGGGGTTCACACTAGAAGCAAAGGAATACTTTTAGTATACTTTTACTCTCCAAAAATAAACGACAGTGTCGACTGTCAACGTTGTAGACTAAATTCAAAACATTTTTTTTACCACTCATTAGTTTCAAATAATGGGCGGAGACTCAATTGCCACACTTTCTTTGGGCACTGATCTAGTTCTAATTTACTATTGCTGCCCGACCCGGGAATTTAAACCCGAGTACCGGTGTTTGCTGTGACTTATTACCCCCCCACTCCTCAATCTCCAACAATCCTCAAATTCCTAATCCTCAAAAAGCCAGTAACGCACTTGTAAAGCTTTTAGTGTTCTAGGTATCCAGGGGCGACACCGATTGCTTACTATCAGGTAATCCGTCTGCTCGTTTACCGGCTTATCACATAAAAAAAAACTATTGGACCAAAGAATAAACAGACCTCCACGATTTGTCGGTTCTCACGTGAAGTTCATTTCACTTTGTCTACAAAGTTATTACATTTTTTACGTATCATAAAACATTAGATACAAAGTTCATTAAATTGATACTTAAAAACAAGATACTTTTGTTATCATTGTTATGACATAATTAAACTTGTTTAGATCCGGGTACCTCATTTATTATTGTGTTATTATTACATAATAGTAAAATGTTATCTAGAAATTTAGTTTACTTCTGGCCTTTGATAGCGAATAATATTTTTACAATAACATAAAGTAGCTTTATTACACTTTAGGTGTCTTTTTTTAAAAGGGGGCGAAATCATCGAACGACTTCTCTCGCCTGGGCGAGGCGGGAGGGAGTGTCATACTCTTTACTGACTAAAAACCACCCCGTTCCTACTCCTGCACTTCGAGTCGGAGCCCCGGTAACCCGTTAAGTCCTCCGCGGCTCCGTATCGGCATCAGCCCTATTGGGCCCCATTCGTGGTGGTCTGAATGGCTCTTTGAGGCGGGCGCGGAACGCGACGCGCCGTGTGTTCGAGACTCTTTAGGTGTTGGCAGCAGTAGTTATAATTTGTAACATCCAGGATTTTTTTAAAAAGCAAATAATTGTTTCTGTAATATATTATGATCATCCTTTCAACTTGGAGCCAAATATCGCGTTACATTCATCATCTTCAGCCTATAAGTGGCCACTGCTGACCAAAGACCTCTTCACACACAGATAACGTTTGAGCATTAATCACTACGCTTGCTCAATGCAGGTTGACGATTTCAAACTTACAATAAGAAATTATAAGGCCAGATTTCCTCGCAATGTTTCCTTCTTCGTTTGTCAGTAGCGTCTATATTCTCTTAGAAAGTACCTACATATGACTTGGAAAAAGTCACATTGATACTTGCCGTTGGTAGGTTTCGAATCCGCACTCTCATGCATGAACCATGTTCGACACAAATGTAAATTTGTTTATGAATAAAAATAAATAAATAAATGAGAAGCAGTCTTAAACCTTCGGGTTACCACGAATCTAATATATAAAATTCTCGTGTCACAGTTTTCGATGCCATACTCCTCCGAAACGTCTTGACCGATTTTGATGAAATTTTTTGTGCTCATCCGGTATCTATGAGAAATGGCCATGATCTATTTTTCTACATCCCCCTAAATGTTAGGGGTAGTCCACCCCTAAATTTTTCTCGATATTGCGCGTACGAAGTCGCGGACAGGAGCTAGTAATAAATATATCTTACCCTAGTCTCAATATGGACAAAGTTGCCAAAATGTCCGATAGAGAAGTTTCCAGAACGATCGAAGCCGATGTTGTTATTGAACATGACAGTAAGTTGTTCCGTGGTGGAGATAACTTCCTCGTGGGGGATTAGTGTTTCCCCGCGGCGAACTCCGCACTCTGCCAGTCCGTTCATATGTAGAGGGAGCCACTTGCGCGTCGACTCGTCTACTGAGGTCGTGTCGAATATCAGGTTGATCTGTTGAAGTAAAGGACCATAATCTATATTAACAATAAAACCAGAACTATCGAATGACTGCATCGTATTGTATAATCATTTTGTTGTTTTTTCCGTTATCTTTGGGACAATTTTTTTTATAAAAGAAAGATTCTTTACATTCGCCAGGAACATCGGCTACTTTACCCAGGCAAAGCTGAAGCGGGCCACTAGTATTAATTCAATTCGTTTGAACGTTTGTTTATAATTTTTGACAGCAAGCTAAAAATAGTTGCTTCGCGACTATCTCTGGTGTGTAGTGATGAAGTTTCGTTCAATTATATACCTTAATGCTCATATTATTTGCAGTATTTTTCAAGAAGCTTTCTCAAGATTTAAGTGGATTTAAAGCCTGGGTCTGGAGTTTTATATCGAAAATTCCATTAACTAAGACAGTGGCAATACAATATAAGAGAAATTATTACATTTAAAAAAGGGGACGTGTAAAAAATTTAGAATTAAACTAAAAATCAATATTCAGAATAATTCTTCAATAACATAACTTTACGCTTTTTATCCCCGAAGAAGTAGGCAGTTATGCACATTACGGCACTTAATGCCACTATCTAATGTATCATCCACTTTTCACTATGTATGTTATGAGTCCCATGTAATATACTGGACACAATTCCAGACTCCGTGCTACTACTGAGATTTTAAATAAACCCAGTAATATTTTGCCCGACCCAGGAATCGAACCCGAGATCCCTTGCCTGGCATTCGAACTTGCGACTACTCGGCTAATGAGGCAGGCACTCCAGAAACCATTACATTTTAAAAAAAAGATACTTGTACAAAAATGGTTAAAAACTGTAATTCAATATTCAGAATAATTCTTCAATACTTCCTTAATAATTAAAGCATACTTACATAAACGAAGTTGGTCTTCAAGCTATGTACCCTGGTGTATATAGGAATTTCTTTGAGGTCAAAATGTGGGCAGTTCTCCCCATCTGTGCTCCAAGAGTCGATCTTGTGACATTTGAAGTTGCTGGGAGGTACCGGGACTGAGGCTAGAGTGCCCGCGGGAGGAGGACGCTGAAAAAATATATTTTTTTTTATTAAATTTAAGGTAATATCGCTTTACCTGACCCAAGAATTGAACATAAAAACCCTTAGCCTCGAACGACGTGTATTTTAAAAACAGTTATTTTAAAAACAAAAACACTTTTTGATAGCTTTGCGCCACACTAGAATTTTGTCCTGTGTTGTGGGTGCGTTTACAAAAACACAAGTTCACATACACATGACACCAAGACACGGAACAACAATTTGAGGATCACACAAAGAGTTGTTCCGTGCGGGAATCGAACCTGCGACACGTTGCATGGCAACCAGTTGCCCAGCCACCACGCCAACCGTGCAGTCGTATCATTTCTTTTTTCTATTTCTCATTTCTCATTTCTTTTTTCTTTTTTCTTCGTAAGGTAAGGTACGACTAGTACTCATGTCATATACTTAATAAAAAACAAAATTCCATAAAAATATTGCCAATAAACAAAATGAAATACAAAATTAGCATATAATTTACATTGAATTATAGTTCAATAACACAATGATTATAAACTACCACAATGATAAGTAATTAATTATTATTCGTACATTTGCTTGACTCATGTTTAATTGTATGATTACTTGTATGAAGCCATGCATACAACACAGGTATAAAACCAAATTAGTTTTTCTGATTTAATAACCCAATGGACTATTAAGTAGCATTAACTCATTATTGCTAAAACCATTATCAGTGTGACTTTTTGTATACCATGATGGTGGCAAAAAAGCACACGGCCCACCAGGGTGCTGACTCTTGAAACCAATCTCAATGTCAATGCAATTTCAATCCAATATAATCTCAATAATTATTCAATGTCAAAACTATACAACCCCTATCGTAGCTGTTAAAATAGCATTCAGAGTACGGAATATAAAGCCAAACTCAATACCATTTAGTTCATTCAATATTCATGCAATACGAATGCAATGGGCGCTAGTGCTGCAACTCAAGAGTACGAAATTTTACAATACCAATGTCGATCGATCGGAATCGGATTCAAAAGTGAGCACCCTGATGGTAAGTGGTTACCGTGGCGTGGTTATGTACGGTTGCAACACTTGGGGCATTACATGGGCCTTACCGACCCTTAATAAACCTATTTACTCCTTTTCTTGAAGAATTATTGCCCACTTGGAAAACCTTGGCTGTCTGTTACCAGGTAGTAAATTAACTCAATACTTATATCAGATTAATGAACAGCGCCGCGCACACTGTTCATAAGTATGAGTCCCCGTGTGCCTCGAAATCAGTCGAACTTTTCTCGAAAAGTTCACGCTCATTAATTAAGTTAGTTCATACCTCATTGAAGTCCATAGCTTCCTGTAGCCGTGCTGCCTTCTTAGCTAAACCATCTTCACCAAGCTGTTTTCTTTGTTCTTCTATTCTATTCTTCTCTTCTTCTGCCATTCTAGTAAAACATTAATCTTTTTTAGTTTTGATATTATGAAGAGAGCTATATCCTAGAAAACTGAATCTCGTCTTGATTCCCAGATTAGGTAAATTATTAGGATTTTTATCGGATCAGTTAATTCGCGTTTACCGGAAACGAGCAGACGGTTCACCTGATAATAAGCAATCGGCGCCGCCTATGGATACCCGGAACACCAGAGGCGTTACAAGTGTGTTACTGGCCTAGGAATTTGAGGATTGTTGGGGCTTCAGGGATTGAGGAAGGGGGGGCGGGGGAGGGAAATTTGGGCATCCGGTAACCTCACTAACACGACGAAGCACAATGCAAGCGTTGTTTCACGTAGGTTTACTGTGAGGCCGTGGCATCACTCCGGTCGAGCCGGTCCATTCGTGCAGAAGAATGGCTTCTGAATGAATGAAAAGTTTTTTTTTAGGTTTTTGGATCATTCTTAACAATAGTGCAGATTCTGGAATTGGCAACAGACTCATCCCCTAATATATATGTGGGACTCGTAATATAACTGCTGAATGGCGGATCCTACGTTAAAAAAGTACTTCTTAATGGTTCCGGGAATCAAAAGTATGACATTATGATGTTCATAACGAATTTTTTGTATGATTTATAAAATAATATAACATAACATCACGCCTTTTATCCCCGAAGGGGTAGGCAGAGGTGCACACAGAAGTGACACCTTCACTATTTATGTTATGAGTCTCATGTAATGGGGGTGAGCCTTTTGCCATATACCGGGCACATTTCCAGACTCCGTGCTACTACTGAGATTTTTTTTAAAACCCAGTAATATTTTGCTCGATCCGGGAATCGAACCCGAGATCCTTTGCCCGGCAGTCGCACTTGCGACCACTCGGCCAACGAGGCAGTCTGATTACGAACTCAGATTATTTAAGCAGTTTAACTAATCTATTAATACATACTTGGACTGCAGTTCGATGCTAGGTGATCCCATGACGGTGACGATGTCCTCAGTGAAGTACTTGCGTATAAGACCGAGCCAGTACTGTGGAGTCTCTTCTAGAAGGGCCGTCAGGTCCGTTTGAGGGTTCATACGGGACGTGAACTGGAACCAAACGATCTTAATTTTATTAATGCTATTAAATGTGAATTTTTTTGTGTATGTTTCATACTCAGTCACTTGAAAATGGCTGAAGGGATTCCTAAATTTTATTTTAATGTCCGTCTGGTAGATTATTTTTAAATATTTTTTTCTTTTCTCACAAAATTAAATGCTTTTGACGATATATTGATTTGAAATGTCGCGTGACGCCACAGCGTGCTACAAAACGTACCACGTTCTGACGTAATTACCTCCCACTCCTAAACTTAACGCCATTTTATTTAAGTATTGTAACTTTATACGAGAAAAAAAAATATGTGTCGAATATTTTTTCATTATCTAACTGACGGACTTATTAGATTTTTAATTTTCTTACCCTTACTACCCTATTGGCATGTAATTTGAAACAGAGGTAGGTTACGGTCGGGAATAACATACAGGGTTCTTTGTATCCCACGCGGGTAAAGCCGGTGGAAGAACCTAGTATAGGTATACATATAAGAAATTTTATAGGGACTTGAAGTTGAACAAGAACGATATAGGTACATTCCGTGGAATATTAAATGAGCCGAGTACTGATAATGCGAGAATATTGCTCAACTTCATGGCTCTGATTCATTGATCTCTAGTTGATTTATAAACTTATTAGGTTATGTTGGGACTGACATACGCTGTGCGGTACAAAAGTCCCTAAAATGAAAAAGGAAATAAAAATAAGATATTTTGTTGTTTCCATATATTTTTGGTATGACTAGAACCTCCTTCTAGTGACGAACTAACTTTTGGTAAAGCATTTTTCCTCATAATGGTGCAGAAGTTTTATATCAGGGTAGATGACTAATTTTTATTTTAATATCCGTCTGGTAGATTATTTTAAAATATTACACACATATTTTTTTATTTTTTTACAGAAACGAATACTTTCGACGACATATTGATTTGAAATGTCGCGTGACGACACTTCTATGTACATTTTATTCGTAGAAATGACGTTTTAGCCCCCACTCCTAAACTTTGATTCGTTATATCTATACATATATCATATTATTATACACCAAAATAAAAAAAATACGTGTCTAATATTTTTTCATTACCTAACTGACGGACTAATTAGATTTTCAATTTTCATACCCTGTCATCATCCCTATTCTACGTTTTATGAATTCATTTACGTTTTACTGACGTTAACGGTTTTTTTAGATAATGTCGTCATCCAAATGTAATAACATTGTAGGAAATTATGGTTTGGTACATTAATAGGTCTCGACTTAATTTTCTCATACTGTTAACGATCATAAGATCGAAAGTGGTCGTTAAACCATCGTAAATGCTCATTGTTTCACAATACCACACACTTGGAGTAATTATTTTTACTTTTTAATTTCTTTCTTATCAAGGAAGAAAGCAAATGGTCTCTTGCTTTGATTTATTGCAACAAATTGTAAAGGAAGGAAGCAAGGAAGGAATCGGTTACATTCGATTTCAATGCTGGTTGGTGATTTCAGACTTATAATTAGGAATTATAAGCCCAGTTTCATCACGACGTTATTCTTCACCGTTTGTCAGTGGATGTCTAAATAATCTTAGAAAGTACATATAACTTGGAAAAAGTCACATTGGTACTTGCATTTGGTAGGTTTTGAACCCGCGTCCTCATGCATGAGATATGGATCGAATTTAGAACAGAGTAGCTTACAGTCTGACATAACACTTAGGCTACTTTTTAGCCCACGGGATCGCGGGCGAAGCTGCCGGCAGAAGCTATAGTCTACATATAAAGAAGATAGACATACACATACAAAAACACATCGAAAAACAAACAAAGATACTTACATGATGTTCATTCTGAGAATATAGAGCGTCTCCAATACATCTAAACGCTACAGCATGATGAGGATCAGACTCCAAACTGGCAATGGACTCGCGCAACTGTTTGCGCAACAACCTGCGCAAACGCTCCATATCTATGACGTCTTCTCCACTGCGCACTGAGCTCAAACACTTCAGTGCTTCATCCCGCGCCTGTTCCAACTTGTCCATAGGCACGTTATCTAGCTCTATCTTTATTAAAGAAGATATGTTTTCTGTAAGGTTGTATGAGATCTGGAAAAAAAAATAAAATGTTTGAGTAAATTTTGAACGATTCATATTAAAATGGGAGTTGTATTGTGATAATTTCGTGTGTCGTGCAATACTGCTCATAACTATGAGCCCCTGTTGCGGCTTGAAATTAGGCGAGTCATATCGTAGCCAATTATTACAACTATTAGGCAAAACATAATTAAGTTGAAAACACTTGAAAAGGTAAAACTTATTTTTATATTCTCTTGAAGCGTAGAAAACATTACCTTTGAATTTTCATGTGATTTCTGTTATGTATGATCAACACTACTGGCTTTAATGTTAATAAAAGCAGTTCCAAATACATTTGCACAGCTGTAAAATAATTAAATAAAAAAAATAAACATGTAAATAATTATATAAATGTCTTACGTCTCCAGCCAAAGCATCTTCTCTTTCGACGAGGCAGCGCTGTAACGGCGCGGCAGCGGTATCACAGAGGTAGCGCAGCAGTATAGCAACCGCTGTCAAGTTCTTTAGGGCATCTTCTTCTGTTAGGAGCGGACCGCGCCAGCCGAATATCACCTATGGTAATTAGACTATTTTTATTAATCCAATAAACACAATTCGAGAAGTCATGTGTTGGTAATTTTTTTATCACCCTAATATCCTTAGTATAGGTTGCCTAGTTCCTTAGAGGACTAAAAGAAAGACTTAGGACCGATTTATCAATCACCAGTTAATGTACTGTAGAATAAAATTGTCATTGGACAGTATTTAGTATGGAAGAATTGACAAATATTCAAAGACTAATACTGAAAGATTAAACAATTTTAATTTGTACTTAAATATCGTGCCATCTCTGTCATTTTACACAGAATCTGTAGTGACAGAATTATATTATATTAAGCACGACTTAAATATTGAGTGACGTTTGAGTATTTTAGCGTAAGTATCTGACAAAAACCACGGAGCAGTTAAAATGCCATCTGCAACCCATTCACCACGCGTGAAGATTACAGATAGGTAAAATCTGAAGGACGAATGAATAAACTATCTTGGATACCGTAAAGGAATAAATCAAAAGATATAATTACCTGACCACAATCTTCAGTGTCTGCTGGCCACTGGACCTTCAGCTCTCCATATTTAGGTTTGGGAGGGATGGTCTGCCAAGGCTTCACCCATTCCTCTTGAGGTTCACTGGCTTTCTGCGTACATAAATACAAAGAAACTTTATTTTAAAACATATACACACTAAAAGATATAATATAAACTACCTATATGCGGATACCTAGCGAAAACCGGATACGGATTTTATACCCTTTATTTTTTCATAAATTTCTGGTATGGTTGACGCGCGTGCTACTTATTATGGGCCCTTGGTGTGGCTTGAAACTAGTCGAGTAACCGCGCCGCAACAGTTATGTTAGAAATTCAAGCTTATTTATGCTTAACATTTATTTTAGACTGCTTCGTTGGCCGAGTGGTTGCATGTGAGACTGCCAGGCTTCGGGTTCAATTCCCGAGTCGGGCAAAATGTTAGTGTTTTAAAAAAATATCTCAGTAGTAGCAAGGAGCCTGGAATTGTGTCCGCTATATGGCAATAGGTTCACCCCCTATAACATGGCACTCATAAAGTAAATAGTAAAAAGTGGGTGTTATATTGTTCAGTGGCATTGAGTGCCATAATGTGCTCCTCTGCCTACCCCTTCGGGAGATAAAAGGCGTCACGTTATGGGTGTGTATTTATTTTAGTCGTTATTAAAATTAATATCAATCGATCTTCTGAAGCAAATATGTAATTCATGAAACATATTTGTTCTTACAATCGAAAGTCAACGTCTCAAATACTCGTAATCATATCCTGTCTTTGACTAAGAACAATTTGCAATCAACATAACATCAGCAAAAACAGCTCACTTTTAAGAACAGGCTGAATGACATAAGCATTGAGTCATCTGATGTAGTTTTAAATATCGTAAGCTTTGCACACAATAGTGCAGTTTGGCATTGGACATTTTATCTTGTTGTAATATCTTAGAAATCTTTTGAAGGGATAAGCTGGAAAGGTATGTTTTTTTTAAGGAGCGAAAATCATCGAATGTCTGCTCCCGCCTGGGTGAGGCGGGAGGGAGTGTCAGACTCTTACTGACTAAAATCCACCCCCTTCCTTCTACCCGTTAGGTTTTCCGCGACTCCGAATAGTGTAGTAACGGGTTTTGGAAAACGAAACTTCATATAAATAATGTCAAAAATAGGTCGACATTTGCAGATGTTAAAAAAAAAAAACATTTTTTTTATATTTTTATTGCAATCTACCATATAGATGTTCAACAATATTTTTGGTAATGCAGTAGACTTGTACGCGGGCTGTCCAGTGATTGCCCCGTTCTTACAACCTCCTAAATGAGGTCTTCAGGAATTTTTTCCTTTAATTTAAACTGACGTGAAACAACGCTTGCGTCGTTTCTACCTATCTCTTTATGCGATGATATTATCGATCGTTGTCCGAGAACAATGTCTGATAAGGAGATAACGAAGTTAATATCTAGTCTAGTAATTATAGCTGTTACAGTAGCATATTGGATCCGGTATGTGCACTTCCTAAGTGACTATTTAGACCAAAATGTGTCTCTAATATCTGTTTGACCTATCTGAGGTCGTTTCAATGAAAAATAGAAGGAGATATGTAGGTGTAAATTACTCAGTGGTTCGTTTTCGCTTTAGTCATAGGATACTTAGGTATTATTGGATCATTTTTAGTGTTTACTAAAGCAGAGAATGTTTATCTATACAGTAAAAATGCCTCAAAGATAATCAAAACCTTTCATTGAAAATAAGTTCAGTAATTATTGCGTTACGAGATACAGACAGACTAGACAGACACGCTGCGGTAATACAACAATTTTACTAACTGGTAATACTCGAATCCACCAGAATGCCTAAGTAGGTATTCTAGAACACATAACATCACGCCTTTTATCCCCGAAGGGATGGGCAAAGGTATACATTACAGCAATCCTGCCACTACAATGTAACACCCACTGTTCACTATTTATGTTACGAGTCCTATGTAATAGGGGGTGAGCCTATTGCCATATACCAGGCATAATTCCAGACTCCATGCTACTACTGAGAAAACGCAGTAATCGAACGACCCGACCCAGGAATCGAACACGAGACCCCTTGCCTAGCAGTCGCACTTGCGACCAAACGGCCAACCAGGCAGTCAGAGTCGAGTCGGGGCAGAAGTATTCTAGATTTTCTAAATACTAGACTTCTTAGTATTAAGATCCCATTATGATAAAACGTTCGTGTTTAGTATTAGCTTACTAATTTTTGTTTTAGACTAGCTAAATTTAGTCTCAAGGCCTCAATCGGTGACGACCTTCGCAAGTGGAAAAAAAGATTGTGGTATTTACTTGCACCTCTCCTTAAGTTAGACTTCAGATTTTTTAGAGTAGGTTTTTTTGTGAAATAGCGAGCAAAGGACGAGATGGGTTACTTGACGGTTTTGAATATTAGAGAAGTGACAGGAGCCTCGCCAACTGGTCTCAGTTTTTAAAAACTAGTACCTATGCTCTTTTCTTGAGTAGTCCGATATGACTATCGGTTAAAAACTGCAACAGAATCAATTTTTAAGCGTGGGAGAGCTATGCTTCGGCACGAATGGGCCGGCTCGACCGGAGTGATACCACGGCCTCACAGAAAACCGACGTGAAGCAACGCTTGCGTTGTTTCGTCGTGTGAGTGAGGTTACCGGAGACCGAATTATCCTCCCCTTCTCCAATCTCCCCAATCCCTTAATCCCCAACGATCCTCAAACTCCTAATCCCCAAAAATCCGGTAACGCACTTCTAACGCCTCTGGTGTTCCAGGTGTCCATGGGCGACGCCGATTGTGATCCGGTGATCCGTCTACTCGTGTACCGGCTTACGCCATAATTTTTTTTTCTAACTCTTTCAAAAAGAGGTGTTACGTTTAGAATTTGGGCGAAAGCCAAAGAAATGCATGGTGCATCTGTATTTCAGAGTATTTCTGTAATTTTAGAAGATGTTGCCAAGACGAGAGTCAATGTCAATTGTCAATAAAATGTACACTAAAGTGAAGCGAAATGCAAATGGTTTTTATTGATTTGACCTGAAAACGTGGCGATGTATTGCGGTAGATTAGGCACATACAATTTAGATTCATATCGACATGCAGCATTGGAATATTACAGTCGAAATGGCGACTATTAGCCACACTCCAACAGGCCCGATTTGGGGCACAAAAGTCAAAACTGCTAATCTGTGTAAATAAATATGAATCACCGACATGTATGTATGCATGCATGTAACTCTGGAATGGCTGCACAATTTTGGATATTCATTGTTTTAGTTATTATGAGGACAAGGTTTATATAACCCGAGCGAAATAGCTACAGTTAAGTAAAAAATAGCTAATAGTAGTAGCTGTAAAAAATAAACCGAGACTTTTGTCTGGTCGGCCTTAGGCCCAAGTGTCAACCGGTCCCTTTTGGCTGAGTTCGCCCTTGTTAACTAGGCTAGTGTACCTATGTAATTATACTTCGGAATACATATTAGGCAGTACACGAAACGTAAAAGCATTACCTAAATGATATTTAGTTGGTAGGTATGTATATACATCAACATTCATTTCTTTTGGTAACTGTCTACGAATAGTAGCCATGTAATTAGATAGAGGTCGTGACTGAAAATAGCTCATAATTATAGGGCGTGAGGTAGTTTCTAAACAGGTTAGGCCGTTCATTGAAAAATATGTAATATCAACAAAGTTTTAGGGTTTAATATCGAACGACAATGTATGACACTGTGTGAATAACATGACTATATTTTTATGGTAAGGACTCAGCCATATAAAGATAGAATCAAGGAAAGTATGAGGAAAATTAAAATTAATTCAATTTTATTGTCTATCTTAACATGCAGTAGTCATCCTCTGTATCAATTCATATTTAATTAACCCGTATATCCTCAAGCGGTTACCGGTGACCGCTCTCCACTCTTGTACACCTTATTTCCAATGTTTAGAGATTACTTTTGTATGAACGAATTGAGGGGATGATTTTTTATCAATTTTTAACGGGTTAATGGTTGCATTATCTCTACATCTACCTACAATCCTACTACATACTAATACATATTAGATTCTCTTTACCAGATATTTTAGTTTTCTCGTGTTGTACAAAGATAAATGCAGTCAATTCAAACTGCTAACATGGTTTTCTGCGTCTTCATGTTGAAAACCTAAGTAAAGTTACTGCAAAATATAATGTCTTTAAATACTTTAGTTTCTTACCTTGGCAATGATGTCATCTTCCACGGTAGATAAAGCTGCGAACACATCTTCTGCTTCAATTTGACCGGTCAATATAATCGTCAAGTTCTCTGCACGGTAAAATTTCTTATGGAAGTTTCGTACCTGGAAAATTAATTTTGTTAATAATTTTTTTTTTAACTAAGAGATCTTCTATTTAAATTTATGAATAAAAAAACTGCCTCGTTGGCCGAGTCGCAAGTGCGACTGCCGGGCAAGGGGTCTTAGGGTTCGATTCCCGGTTCGAGCAAAGTATTTTCATAAAAATATTACTTTCATAAATTCTCAGTAGTAGCACGGAGTCTGGAATTATGCCCGGTATATGGCAATAGGCTCACCCCCTATTACATGGGACTTAAGTGGGTTTTACATTGTACAGTGGCATAATGTGCACCTATACCTACTCCTTCGAGGATAAAAGGCGTGATGTTATGTTATGTGTGTAATAAAAAGGTTTTAGCATAAAAATATGTGGAACATAAAATTAGTATGCGCTGTATTTTTTATATCGAACATGTATTTGAATCTGATTATAGTTTTATGACATAATAATAATTATTAAGTAGGCTATACAATACTTACTTTAGTGTTATCAGTAGAGGTCCTAAGGTTTTTCATAATGCCACCAGTTTCGGCAGAGTAACCGCTATCTGGGTACATTGCTCGCAGTAATTGAAGTTCACATCTAAAATAATAAAGAATTATACCAATTAAGCCCGACTTTGTAACACAATGATAAAAATAGTAAAGCTTAGTTCATCATTTTATGTGAAAATTTCAATTCAATGAACTAAGTTTATTTGCCGCTAACGTGACATCATTCTATATTTCTTATTCGGTTAACTAGTTGATCTCACCTACAATATGAAGTATTTTCTCTTCCTTGCATTTCACAGTACACAACACCAGCGTCCTCTCCCTCCCCATCGATATGGTGGACTTCGGTAATAAAACCATGGTCCGTAAGAGTAGGCCGAAGAATATGATCCAAGTAAATAGGTAGCAGGGTCAGCATACCAGCATCACCCGCAGTGTACACCGTATAACATGTATGGTCAGTGTCAGTCCATGCGTTTGTGCCATGCGCCATACATCGGTTGGCAAGGAGATCCAAGATGCCTTTGTATGGGTACCGTTCAGATCCAAGGAAGATCAGATGCTCCAAAGTATGTGGAAGACCATCATCGTCGTGGGCCTCAGTTGCTGAACAATAGAAATACAAATATTATGTCATCATTTTATAGTATACCCACAAATTCAATATCTATTATCTCATTTTGTTATCTCTATTGTAATGTATGCTTTGTTGGTTTTATTTTACAACTTCAATGAGTATCTTCAATATGTTGATGTTACACCTCGAAGATGATGACTAAATATAATAATTATTCCAATTTATTGTAATCATAAAATGGAATATGTGAGTGGTGTTTTTAAAGCTAATTACTGCTATTAATACATATGTTACACTAACTAGGGCTTTTACAATACTATTGTTCTTTAATTGTGTCTATAAATACGGTACTCGACGAGTTAATATATCTCTAGTTTAAATCATTGCAATAAAATTATTATTTAGTAAAAAATATAACCTTACAATTATTAGTATGATTTTAAATAAACATTGGACAAATACCTAATATTAGGATTTAAAAAGTTTTAAACTCAGAAAAACAACAGTTATTCTATAAATATCACAACAAATCTTCAATTAATACTTTGCTTCATTATCTACTATTTGACTTCTAAAAGTAATGAAAAGTTACTTTTCTCCATAAAGTACTAAAACACCTCCATCTATAGACATAACTTAGCAACTGACTCCCAAATCTTTGTTACTAAACTTATTATTTCTCAATTAAAATAAAACTCACCCAAACAAAAGAATCCGTTAACTAAAGGCCCTTCAACTCCAGCTATAATCACGGTAATACCGGTCTTCTCCGACACATATTTGTTAACAGGAACCACGTCGGAGGCTTTCGTTGATGAAATCAATTTAAAATGAGACATTCTGGATCACACAACACTAGTCTACTAACTAATATAATGTTTATTAACGATATTGCAGGAATATTTAATAATAATGCACCCGATGCCCCAGTTGGCTTGATGTGTAAGCAACTTACTCAAGAAGAGCAACGAGCCATTCAAGCAACAGCAAAATCGGAATGAAATACGAAACCAAGACCAATGAGAGTGACTCGACTTGACTTGGTTACCAATACAATAATGTCAAAATTGACAATGTCATTGTAATTGTCAAAAATGAATGAATGACGCTTCGCTCGTTAGTGACGTGCAAAAAATATTCCTACATTGATCATGGGTAGGTACTGTTATTGTTACCGATTAAAGTAATAATAACATCTAAAACAGTAACTTTCTGACAAAGTATTCAAAAACCTGAGACAAATTTATGCTGTGTGGTTTTAATAATTATTTTGCTTTGGTTCTAAGAATCCAGTGGTCAGTAAAATGTGATTTTCAATTGAAACTAAACTAATATTTCAATAAAATAATAAATTAATAAACAATTAAAAAAACGAAAAGATTATGAAATACAAAAAGTACATCGATCTTATCACTTTTAAAAATGGTTCTCAAAATGGTATTATGGTAAATAAAATTCTGACTTGGAATAACTTGTTTTCTTTGCGTCATTACATAAAAAATAATAATTTCTTGAGTATTATTCATGAAAATAATGCGTCCATGGTATTATTAATTTTAAAATTACATCACTAGCATCCGCATCACATTCATTCCATTCGTTCTTTATGACACATCAACTGTCACAGACACAGATTACATAGATTTATTGATTGTTTATTTTTGTATTGTTGTTAGATTTCATTTTTTTATTTTTGAAATTTACTTTGTTTCGTTGGTTGTTATGAAACCCATCTTACCGTTTTTTTTTTAAGGGGGGAAAATCATCGAATGACTGCTCCCGCCTGGGTGAGGCGGAAGGGAGTGTCAGACTCTTACTGACTAAAAACCACCCCGTTCCTTCTCCTGCACGTCGAGCCGGAGCCCCGGTTACCCGTTAGGTTCTCCGCGACAAACCCATCTTACTGTACGGCCGTATGACTCTCTAGTCTCTTGTGTGAGTTAGAAGTATGGGATTTCGAGTCGCATCGGACAAATAGAATTTTTTTTGGATAAATTTCCGTGATCTGTCCGTGTAAGTTCATCCCCGCTAAGACAAATGACTCCTAAGTACCTAAAAACCTAGTGTAGGTTACCTACCTAACCGGTAACCTTCCGGTGTGTATTTATGAACTTATATTTTATACACACGTTTCCCCGATATCCATAGACATAATAAAACGCCTAGACCTAGACTATTAATTTACACCTATTGAAAATCACACAAAGAATTTAATGCGACATACTACCTACACGTAATTGCGTAGTAGTTGGTCACCTAGCTATACTGCATCACTAGAGTGACTGATAAAATTATGTTTTTATGGAAACAATTGTATTAATTTTGCATTGTAAGAAGTCCACGCTTGACAACAACTGCGGTCAAATCTTGAATTGTATTAAGATAATTATCTAATTAAGTACCCATGTAGGTGTTAATTACATGCGGCTTAAGGATTTCATACTTGCAAGATAAGACAAAGCGATATTATTCGATGTCCAATTTAAATTCAGAAGCGGTCTTGATACATATACAAACAATTACCTTTCCTACAGTCGAGTAAAAAGAACACAGGTTTCTTAACCCAAAACTTTTTGTTTAAACAATATTTTTAAAATAGAAGATTTCTGTGCTTGTACTTAATCTTGTTTAATTTAATTGATTCGTATTACTTGTTTATTTATACGGTCTTACTTACGAGTAGATACACAGTACAAACTTTAAAATAATATTTCGTCGACTTACGTAAGAAAAAAATTGGTCATTCAGAAAACATCTCACACTCGTTTACTTACTTGATATTACTAATCTTGTAGTGAACCTATAAAGAGTAAAAGTAATAACTTGACAAAGAAAAAAGACAGTTTTAAAACATCAAAAGATTTTTTTTAACTTTGGTAGGTAGGTACCTTTATTTGACCGCACAAGGTCACTCATACATGTAAGTTCATCAGATGACGTGACTATGGCTATTCGTGTTGGAAGGAGATTTTATTGTAGGTTGTATATTCATAATATTGGGGGCAATAGCACAAGGTCGGCAACAAATTGGCGAGTTAACCTAATTGAAGAATTTTTAATAGGGTGCTACGCGGAGTTTAGGTTACGTTGCTACGGGCGTAGGCTTCGTAGACGTTGCTACGCCGACACTGTTTAAAGTTGAATCAACTTGTATCTATTAATTAACATAACATCACGCCTTTTACCCCCGACGGGGTAAGCAGAGTTGTACATTACGGCACTTAATACACCCACTTCTCACTATTTATGTTATGAGTCCCAGGGGTGAGTCTATTGACATATACCGGACGCAATTCCAGACTCCGTGTTAGTACTGAGATTTTTTTTAAAACCTGTTATACTTTGCCCGTCCCTGGAATCGAACCCGAGACCTATGCCCGGCAGTCGCAACCACTCGGCCAACGAAACAGTCGTTAAATACAATCAGAGATTAATGTAATGGAATGACAAGGGTGCCCTTGTCATTCGGACCGGACGGTTGTCCGTGCGGACAAGAGTCAGTGGAGATTAAGAAATGTAATATAAAAAAAAAATACATTCAGAATAGAATAATCTGTGGTGAATTTGGGTCTATAATGATGGCAATCCTTTTTTGGTTCTGTTTACTACTATTAAAATTAAGATGATATGAAATAAAATAAGACTTTTACAGGAAAACCGGAGAAACTGCCGAGCAATGAATAAATTGACAAAGAGGAAGATCTCTTAGGATAATAATTTCTTACGTATGACTTAAAATAATGTTTTAGTAATGAATTACAAAGAATCTATTCGTTATTATGCAGATAGATAAATGGTTTTTACTGTATGATGTCAGAATAACACGTATGTACTTCTAAGAAATTATTTATTATACTTTAACACTAAACCTATAGTAGATGATAGTCTGTATGGTAATTCTGGATCGACTTTTGTAGCTAATTGCTTAGAAGTGTGAAGTTTTAAACAATTTTCTTTGTAAGTAACATTATTTATGATCGCTTCGTCTTTGACTATTTGCTATAACACATTAAGTTATTTCTCCCGTTCCCGTACGATTATCAGAATTCATTTTGTCAAACAAGAACTAGTAAAATCAATCCAACCATTCACGGGTTATGCCGTGACCAAGGAAAAAGGGATTAATTTTTATATATAAAGAAGATTATTTTCTTACACTACGTATATATATACTTACGTATTTATATATGCCAGCGACTAGTTACTACGGTACTTCTTCTATAAAGTAGTTTCTATAGTATTGAAAAATAGATTAGTGGATACCTAACTCAACACATTAACCTCCGCGTAGGTCAACGGTGTAAGTAATTTTAGAAAGATTCGTGCCTAATATTATTTTTTTTTTTAAAAGCGATGGAATTCCTGTTCGCCTTGCCACGCCGTGGGGACGACGGGAGGGTGTGCCGGTCTCTTACCGGCCAAAACCACCGCGGTGTTCCTCTTCTGCCTGTGGCCGTGACCCGGGACGCCCTTGCGGATTCACCACACCTGGCAGGCCTCGACCTACCGTTATATTGCAGCAGGTCTCACCACGCAGCAGCCCTCAGATGCTGCGATTTCCTTCCTCGGCTTAATATTAACCTTGCACCACATTAAGTATTTAACCACAGACGTTATATTACACCTACTACCTAATAATTGGTGTAAAGTGGGTTAATGATCGCTAAAAACAAAAATATAAATCCGTGCACTCGCCCTTCAGCCCTGACTATTTAAGTCAAGGAGTCGGAGTTGGTCAGATTTGGGCCAGATAATGTTCCTGATAGTATCGGGTGAAATTACAGCCATTGCATGATACCACGGGTGTCGGAAGTGAGGGCAATTAATGGCCTCTTTGTAAATACGAATCTGATTAATTGATTTACTAAAGGTGATGTAAAGTTACATTATTTTATGCGTGGATTGTTTTATATGAATGCGGATTCGTGAATGCAACAATTTAATATTTGTTTTCAACATTAAGATAGTATACTTTTTTTTAAGGGGGGAATATCATCGAATGACTTCTCCCACCTGGACCAATCCCCAAGCAGTCACCGGTAACAGCTTTCCACTCTCTTATAGTCTCCATTATAGACGATTGATTTTATTCCCGATGTTTAGAGACTGCTTTTGTATGACCAAATTTTGGGGATTTTTATAACACAAACACAACCATAACCTAATTTTCATCTTCGAAAGTAAAGAGAGGTGCTCATTATTATAATATAAATTACATTTGCATCAGTTATGAAACCCACGCTACTCTACGTGGGGTGAGTCCATTTCTGGTTACGTGCACTGCGCATTTCAGTTAACTGGGAAACCTAATGACTCAGTCACCGACCCGGAAATTCCCTGTTTGTACCGATATAATACTGGAAAAGTAAATATATAGACAATGTAATCTCCTTAATAATGTTCTGTGATGTAAAGTAACCGTAGACCTAAGTCCAATGTAATCTTTGTTAACCTTTTCAAGAGTTCGAGCACCTACCTGAAATAAGGCTTAGGCATTCAGCTGCACCTAACAATAATTATGTACTAGATTTTACCAAAAAGTTGCGAAACGCCCTAAATTGCCAGAACGTTGACATTTGGCTTGACTTCAAAACAAATTAGGAAATTACTTGGTCAATTCTTCATTTTACCCTCGCGCCCTCATTTTATTCCTATACATATAATTATTCTTTTTTACATTAAAAAGCTTTTTATCAAAGGGTCAGTGAACTTTGTATGTGTCATGTGTACTATAATAACGTTGAAGAGAATGGTATGAATAAAGACATCACGCTATTTCTTTCATTATTTTAATTAAGGTATATTTTTGTTGCGTATGTTAATTGGTTATTAGGGATGACTTGCCATTGGCTCCCGTCCCCGTGGGATAAAAGTAGCCTATTATCTGTTATTCCAGAGGCCTTAGTACGAGTTGGTTTTACGATCGTAACGAGTACGCGTTCGGCGCCCTGATTGGCCGGCTCCAATGAACCAACCAATCAGAACGCCTAACGGCGTCTCATTTCGATTACTTTAAACGAAAAAGAAACTCTTACTAAGGCCTCTGGAATAACAGATAATAGGCTACTTTTATCCCACGGGGACGGGAGCCAATGGAAAGTCATCCCTAATAACCATAATGTTCGTTCCCTTCAGTCGTTTTGACGTGAAGAAGTAACGAACAAACAGACATACAAACTTTTGTAATACTAGAATTAATAAATTATAGTACCTGACCTACTACAACACCAAGACTGGTATAGATGACTGGTAGAGAACGCTGTTAGCATTAAGCTACCCCTTGTGCAATTTTGTAGAACAAAAATAAATAAATAAACAAACCAATGTAAAATCAAACTAGAGATGAGACGATTCAACTATTTACAATAGTATCTGAATAGTACTAGTGTGAGGAGCCGTGCTTCGGCACGAATGGGCCGGCTCGACCGGAGTGAGACCACGGCCTCACAGAAAACCTACGTGAAACAACACTTGTGTGGTGTTGCGTCATCAATTACAACCCCTCCCCCCTCCCTAATCTCTCCAATCCCTGAATCTCCAACTGAAACTCAACCAACGTGGGAATTAAATTGTACAGTGGCATTAAGTGCCGTAGTGAGCACCTCTGTGTATCCCTTCGGGGATAAAAGCATGGTGTTAAGTTATACTATGTAACCAGTTACAGTCTGGCTAAAATTCAAGAACGTATGATCTGAAGTCTCTGAACTGCCTCGACTCGACATACGAAATTTGTAATCAACTTCCCCAAATAAATTATTTGGGGAAGTTGATTACAAATTTCGTATTAAGGTAGGTTAGGTAGGTATTATTTTACGTAATCAATTAATTCGTTTATAACGGTACCTGTCTAGGTCTAGTCTAGGTTACCTAGATACCTATCTGACATATAGTTTGTTTATTATTACATCTTAGTCCATAAAAATATAAACCTTTGTTATCAACAACAAAGATTAGAGTTTAATTTGCTCTAATTAACTCTTAAAGCAATAAACATAAACAATTTGAATATTTTAAACATACGTAACTGTTTGTTGTGTAAAGTACATTACCCTCTTTATAGTGCAGTTGAATAAATTATGTATTATGTATGAGGAGTGTTGAAAGTGTTAAAAATTTATATGATTGTGAAAACAGTGCATCTATATCTTTTTGTGACTAGAAAAACCTTGAGATACCAAATAGGTGCTAGTAAAAATGAAAAATGTATTGTTAATTTCAAGTGGTGACCAGTGTAAAAATATAGTGCAGAACGCTTCTTAACTTTAGACATCTGCAGCTGCAGTGGTTGGAAACCATGGAGTATGTTGGAAATACTTAACTTCTTGATTGCACCGATATGTATGAGATACAATAGAAGATACTTTGTGTCTCCCGTGTTAAACAATAATGAACTTTAGGGCCGTGTTATTCTAGGCCTGCTACACCCAGCAGTGTGTTTGGAAACGAACTGTTGATAATGATGCATTAAACATTGTATTGGAGTTTGAAGAGTTCAGGTAAGATTTTCTAATTATCTCTTTATGTGATAAGCTGGTAAACGAGCAGATGGATTACCTCATAGTAAGCAATCGGCGTCGCCCATGGACACCTGGAACACCAGTGGCGTTACAAGTGCGTTACCGGCCTTTTGAGGATTCAGGGATATTGGGGAGATTGAGGAAGGGGGGGGGATAATTAGCCTCCGGTACCTTTACCGGTACTTTACCTTACACGGGCCTTTATCCAAACGCCACTTTAGCGCTTGTCTACAGAGAGAGTAGAAAACTAAATGTATGGGGATGACATTGACAAGTGTCAAAATTTACGTCAATTTCATATAATTTGGTTTTCTATTCTACATGTAGACAAGCGCTAAATGGCATTTGGCTACAGCTGCCGGTTACCTATCATGCCGTGGTAAGAGTTTATAAGAGTTATAAGCTACTATTCCCACGGTTGTATAAATAAAATTGTTCGCGTCTAAAGGAATATTTTAACTAAAGATTCATTGAATTAATTAAAACGTCTAGACTGTTTGTTATGTTCATCTTTTTTATAAATAAAAAGCAGCCCGAAAATCTAAACAAAAAATAGGTACAAGAAATACTTAGGTATAGTTAATTTTATGTACATAGTATATAATTATTCATACCAGCTGTTGTCCGCGACTGCATCCGCGTAGAATATGAATTGTAGAACACAACTTTATTTTTGTATAAATTTTCCAAAATAAAGGTAGCCTATGTTACTCTGTACATCAGCTACCTGCCAATAAAAGTTTTGCTAAATCTATCTAGTCATTCCAGAGATTCGCACGTACAAAAGGACAGACAATAATTGTAAAAAATATTATTTTGGTATGTGTATCGTATGTACATTTTATATGCATGTAGTAAAAAGCGGTTATTTTAATATTACAAACTGACACTCCAATTTTATTTATTTTATTTAAGTTTATAATATTTAATATGAATAAAGATTCTTAGGTATTTTCTTATTGATCTTTTTTTAATAGTTCGATTGATGAATAGTCTCCTCCAGCCCATACTCAACTGTTCAATCGGTTGGTACTTCGTATTACTTAATCGTGATCATCGGTATCCAACTAAACGACTAACGATTACATCACATAATATAAATGTATAACATATAGTGATGTTCACGTACGACATACGCCATAGTAATCAAATATACATTAATGTTTTGTTAAACTAAGACTCGACTTTCTACTCGGTAACTCGAAGCTATAATGTTTTTATTCATTTTCAATAGTGTGTTATTACCTATAACACCCCATGATACAAGTATAATATAACATTTCTTGTAGTTAGATATGAGCCCGTTTGTCAAGCAAGGGGTCTTGTCCCAGATTCCCATGTAGAGCAGTCATTTTTTGAAAATTGTCTGTAGCAGCTCGCAGTCTGTAATAGTGCCCATTTGTTTCCTGCTACAGGAGACTAGAATATGGCGGTCGATAGGGTAGAAAAATTCTGGAGGCCACGTACCGGCAAGTGTAATGAAATGTCCACAAATGAACCGGCTTATCTGGAATTTATCGAATAAGGTTTTGTTCAGTAAAGGATGTGTTTGTGGCCGAAGTGATGATGATAATTAATAACAAACATAACCAGTGAAAGGTGTTACCTACGTTTCATATAACCTATGTTGTGTTAAGAAGTCGCAATATCCCACGGTGACAATATAGTACAATCACCGGTGTACCGTAGATGACGGTCGTATGAAACCCCGCTTCCGCTAATCGGCCCGCGGTCGCCGGTCACCGGTTGCGTTCACAAAGTCGCTGACTCGCGCGGCGGTCGCATGTGTAGTGAGCTCCAAAACTGTCGCAACATCGCACCGGTAAAAGTTAATTAAAAAAAAGTTATTCGAAATTTAAAAACTGTTGAGTAATTTTTTGTGCAATATTCAAGTTTATTACGGATCAGTGCTGGCTGTTTTTTTTTCGACATTGGACCGAAAAATGTAAGTTTATTTTTTAAATTAGTATTTCAGTAAAAGATAATTCATTTGAATAATGTAACCAAGTGAAGGACGTGCAAGATTTTTATTACTACTGAAAATGTATGAAAATATTATTTATTCAACATTCTGTCTTATGAAATTAATAGACATTCAAAAAGGTTAGGATTCACTTTGGTTTAAGTCAATCGAACACTTTATTTTCAATACATTTTCAGGACTGAAAGAATAGGTACACAATAAACACCCTTGTCAGTAGGTACAAATAAAGTGATATAAGTACCGACATTGATACAAAAATAAATTTATAAAAAATATTGCAAAACCTACAAATAACGTAATAAATGAACACTGCATAATATTGCAATACTAAAATTCGGTAGTCTTTACGTAAGTAAGTTCATTTGTTAATTTAATGGTATACAACTCATTTACTTTCGAAATATTTAGGTACCGTTATTTTAAATGCAGAAGACAATGCACTTTTATTTATGAAGTTTCTATTAGTAAATATTGGTCAGTTACCTAGGTACTAACTGTTATTGCGACTTCACCTGCATTGTCAAAGGAAGTCATATACCTACCATAAAAATATCTGTGGCGATGTGACAGAACAAACAAATAAACACAGGTTCTTTCGCTTTTATCATACTACACAGTTACTTGAAAAGATGGTTAAGGTTAAGTTCAGATTTAATAATGCTTTATACCTGGATTACTTGCTGTTTATTAGTAAGTAACTCTCTCTCATAGTTTAGTCAGATTCGTGAAATAGCTGAGCAAAAATTAAATAGGTACTTTTAACGCAAGGAATAATTCAACCGAAACTACCTATACCTACATTTCTCTAATACATGTTACCTATGCGCTGTTTATTGTACTGACTATCGGCAATGCCTGTTCCAAAATTGTTTAGCCATTTTCATATATTTGGGTGACACATACTCTAAAACTTCTCTATTCATAAATCTTAATTTGCAGTTTCGCTTAATTTTATTGCATTATAATAAATTCTATTATTAGCACAAAATAATTAGGTACCATAGATTTTTAAATAAGCTCTTTGTTATATATTTTTTCTATAAACAATTCATTGTTTACTTTTATGATACTTTATATATGTATATTTATTTTAAAAAAAATAACGATTTAATTCATCAACAACTAGGTATTTACAGGGAAGGAAGTTTTTTTATTGAAATTCTCGATTGCAAAACAATTTTATCTTTTCATTGATTGCTTATCATGTTAATTGCGTAAGCTAACGTTGTATCAATAGATAATTGTGTAATTATCAACATAATGTTAATTTGCAAAAACTTAAGACCACGCTTACCCCCCCTATCTATGAGATAAAATAAAGAATTTCATATTATTTGGTGCTTATATTATCTGACCAATGGATTACTTAATTATTGTTATCTAAAACGAATCGTAAATCTTTTCGTCTCAGATATTATATCTAATTTTATTTCTACGTTGTGCGGTCGTTATAAGTTCTACTAAAGATCCTTCTATAGTTCTTGTGTCTAGGTAAATGTAAGTATATACCATTTTTGGTTATTCTATAGGTATCAAAATAATCAACCCCTATTATAATGTAATTAATGATAATACGATATCGCACCGATGAAAAAAACACGTGCTGTATTATAGATATGGGTTTGCATATCTTTTCGGTGATATAACAGATGTGAATTGTTCATTTTATTATTTACGACTACTTGCGGTAATTTTACTCGTAATAGTCGTACTCTGCATCACCCTGAGGTTGACTGTTAGAGTATGCCACTAGGCATTAAGTCCGCCATTGCAAGAAGTGTAAATAAATAAATAAGATAGTGAAAAGTGGGTGTTACATTGTACAGTGGCAGTGATGTTATGTGCACTTCTGCCTATCCCATCGGGATAAAAGACACGATGTTAAGTTATGTAATTTTGATATATTAAATATACCTAATATTAAAGAATACCTAAGTGAAAAACGTTTTGTAACAACTTATAGTTATTATCTCTGATGTAAATGAAATCAAACAAAGCGAGGGATTACAATATTATTCAGGAATTTCCTCTGTAACGACATCTCTTGATAGATTAAGGATAATACAAAGAATAAGCACTTACTTACGTACATTAAAAAAAAAAACGCTTTTTTTTAGATTCCATTCTGAACTGAACTAACCTTAGGTACCATGTCAACATCAGTACAACGAGCTAATCCAAAGAACATCAGTATATTTTTTTAATTTGGTGTTGATTTAAATGACTTGCGTGTGTTATGAATTACTAGATTATGCATGCATACTCTAATTTTTTTTTGGTAGCATACCTTTTTTATTTCTATAAAATACATTTAAATAATATAAGGAAAAGATAAATAAATAAATATGTACAACTTAAGATACTAACTAAGGTAAGATTAATTTAATCGAGTTTCTAGTTTACCATCTTGAAATAGAGTCGGAAATTATTAAAATTGTGCATCGATTCTCGTCAGTTCTTTAGAGAGCGTTATATTTATTTTTAGCCAGGACTGGCTCAGCTGCTCAGCTTACAGGTCTTAGTCACACATCTAGACTCTAGAACTCTCATACTGTAACCAAAAAAAAAAAGTTTGTTTGTGGCGTCAAAATAAACAAAAAGGTATGAGTGTGCTAATGGGAAGTGTATGTCATTGATGTTGTTTTTTTTCTATAGGTATGTATGTTTACTACACCTAAGTGTTTTTACGGCGTACAAATGTATCGAAATAGGTAGTTATAGTAAAGATATAAAATTAATAAGACCTTCAAACTGTCAATTATTGGAAAATAAAAAAGAAAATTAATTATGGATATGTGACTAATGACTTTAATTTAATATGCTATGAAGTGAAAGATGTTTTCAGATTGCACTCACTTTAACTGAAAGAATGTTCGTGGGATAAACTTAAAAGAAAGTTCTGACAATGATGTACCTATTTATAAATAAAATGCTATTGTAATATGTGAACGCAGCCATGGCCTCTAGCGCGTTTATTTGAATGAATGTTTGTTGTTATTTTCCCACAGCAAACGTCATTTTTCGCGCCATAAATTCAGTCACATTCAACCTGACGCCCACAATTAAATATTTTATTTCGATTTTTTT